TCGTAGTCTTCTTCACTTGCTAGTAGTAGTAATATTAGTATAGTTGGAAATTGTAGTTACCTTTTGTCTAACCCTCAATTGGTCATGTAGGGTCATTATGATTCCATTCAATTTCTTCAATTATTGTGTGATAAATGGCACTTTAATTCTTAATCAGTTCTGCAGCATTTTGGGTCATATTTATCCCATGCAACTACTGGGATTATGGGTCATATTGACTCCACACAACAACGTGGGTTATAATTTTTTGCAAAATCAGTTTCTTTTCCTGTAATTTGAATCAAAAACATCTTAGGTGTGAAAAAAGGATTAAACGTGCTACTTAAAGGAATGAAATAAAACTGGTAGCTACACTTGTATCATCGATAAGAATTTTACAGACAAATATTCTTTTATTAGTTAACCATTTTTTGTTCAACTTTGGGCATGATAAAATATGTGATAGTTTGTATTACCACAGTCCAAGTTATAGAAAGTGGAAATTTGTTAAACTATCACTCTTGTTAATAATACAATGTGTCCTGCAGGTTGTTTTGGCCACACAACACACTACCATGTGTCTTGATTTTATGTTTTTCTTACTTTATGTCTAAAAGACGTCTTATCCTGTATCACTTCTTTTCTAGCATTTTTCTGTTTAATCATTTGTTTCAGGTGGTATCTAATTATTCGTGCCTTTACAAGTCCATTTTCAAAGAGAGGAAAACATCTCTAAGTTGCCTGACTTATGTTTAAATAATTTATTTATAGGATAGAAAGAACAAATGATATCAGCATTGGATATAGCAGATACTGTGTGGTTGACATTTCAGACACTCCACACTTTAACTCTGTTATTATTAATAATTACTAATAGATTGTTCATTATACATGTTAACAATTCAGATACTCATTTTGACAGTTCTTAGGATACTTGAAAAACACAAATTTTGTTGAGAAGATCTCTTCAACAGAGACGACCTTGGACATCCTTATTAAATGGTCAGAAATAAATGAATTTAATATCAAACTGATAAGTGTAAGATGATAAGAGTTTGACAATTAGTGGAAATTGCTAGTCAGCTTAATAAAAAAAACATGTTTAGTGTCCATTTTTCAAAATAAAAGGAAGTAGGGGTGCTTTTTTTTAAATGACCTATTGGTAAGAAAGTTTTACCCTTTTTTTCATGATTACTGTTTATTTTCAAAGGTTCCATGTCAAACAGGAGTCTTTTTTGTTTCATTTTTACATCAAATGATACAAAATTTATGACAAATAAAGAAAAATGGAAAAATAAATCAACTGTGTTCATATTTTTATTCAAAAGCCTTCTTTGCATGTGAAAAAAAATATAATTCAAAATGAACAAAAAAGCCAAAAAAAAGTGGGGGAGATGGCTGTCAAAAAGGAAGTGGGCGGGGGTGTTAAACATGTATATATTTTTTTTACTTAGCCTAATTGTGAGTATTCTTGATTCCTACATTAAGCATTATCTGCTGGTTGGGGCATCAAATAGCAGTTAAGGAGGCAGGTAGAGGTCCAGGGTGCAACTGATATTGACAGTGCAGTAATTATTATTAAATTGGTACATCCAATACCTTAAGAATAAAAGTAAAGAACTTATAACAATATGTACATTACATTTCTTCTTCCATATCCAGTGCTAACAAGGCCTTTCACTTTCATCAGATACCAGGGCTAAAGATGGACAATTAAAAGTTTACCTAAAAGCAACAATTAGTGTTAAATAAAATATCCACCTTAAATCACATTAATGTCAAATAAATAATCAACTAATAGAAATTATTATTGTTTGTGATTTTGATTATTCTAACTATGCATGTAATCAAAATATTGTTATTATTAGTATTACTTTCATTATCATCTTTGATTACCACAAGGTTTATAATTGTGAAATAATTTGTAACTTACAATATATATTGTAAATATACTACATCTGTCTTAAACTTTACAACAGTCCTTCAAACTTGGCTTTATATCTACTAGTACTAGTATTAACTAATTTGTTAATTTGCTCTGGTTATGTGCTTTTTTTTGTATTGTCTTTAACTGACATTAAATTTTTATTCTCCTAATTACATTTTAACAATTTCTAGTTAAACCAACATAATATGATAAATGTAAACCTACTTGTTGAACTAGGAGACAGAAAAATAATGGAGAACAAACTTATTAATATTTATCCATTTGTTAATAGTATTACTGATGACGATGATTATGTGTTACTAGCATCAACGTCCCTGAAATTTGCAGATTTTCCATTAATCCTTATTTTTTCTACCTCTAGTATTAGTAATAATAATATAGCAGTAGTAGTATGGCTGATAGTGTGTGATAAATAATAATATCATTATTGGCACTAATAGTAGTACTAATGGTAGTATTACTATTAATGGTAAATGTATCACTATCACAGTATCAGTCATTTCTGTCACATCACCGTATCAGCCCGTCATATCCTATCTAATCTATTCAAATTTGGCCCATTGCAGAGACAATGTCTATCAGTATTTCAAGAAGTACTAACATAAGTTAAACAAAATGCATCTTTAACTATAAGCTTACACACCTGGGTTGGATACGTTTTCGCAACGAAACTAGAAGTCTAAAACACTTAATGTTAAACCTCAATATTAACAGATCTGTTAGGGTTACACGGCTCACGCATAACACAAGTGCAAAAGTGGCCGTAAATGTTCACTATTCTTGCTTCGTTCTCAATAGTCCAAAACATCAAAACGAGGAAGCGCAGACAAACAATGACGACTGCACAGGCCTGAGGGATCGTGGATATACAAATAAATTAGCTGCTGTACGCGATATTTAGCTTGGTGTCGTTACTGCAATCATTCAGAAAAATTCAAGTGTCTAGAAACTACCTCATTAAACGTTATGTTCTTTCATTGATCATACATAAAAGATATTGAAGGTATAACTCATGAACATGTCGACACTTTTGGCTGCCTGTGGCGAAAAGTAAAAGTGGCGTCCCTATTATTAATTTTAACTACTTAAAACGATTCTAATTCAGTGTTTGTTGATAGAAGATAGAAAACCTCAGATAAAACACAAATAAAAATATAAACGAATAAATATAGAACTGGATATTTATAGGCACTTTTTGTACTGATAGCGGCCGCTGGTGGCGTTGCGGAAGCGTCCGCCATTACAAGAATGAAATTGATTGAAAACAAAGCAAGGTTAAGCACTGCGTCAAGACTTAAATTAAATCACTTAACATGTAATCTGAAGTGAAACGTTCAATGCCCTTGAATATTATTTTTGTTATATGATATTGTTGTTTATCTGGTCGTTTGTTAATTTCCTGTAGAAATTCTTCCAGAGGAACTTCAGCGATACAAGTCCTTTCTTAAATAAAACTAGTTTATTCTTTCTCAATACAACTTTGCAATACACAGAATTTCCACAGTATCTTTAACTTAAACACACGCTATAATTCACAACGATTCACGTACTTTACTTACGGTCACTACCGCTCGCTTGACTCAATTATCTGTCTCTATATCTATATATCTGCAATTATTTGCCGGGCTAATATACTAAAATAG